CCAGTCCACTGCTAGTGTGACCAAACACTGTGCCAGTCCACTGCTAGTGTGACCAAACACTGTGCCAGTCCACTGCTAGTGTGACCAAACACTGTGCCAGTCCACTGCTAGTGTGACCAAACACTGTGCCAGTCCACTGCTAGTGTGACCAAACACTGTGCCAGTCCACTGCTAGTGTGACCAGTCAAGCACTGTGCCAGTCCACTGCTAGTGTGACCAAACACTGTGCCAGTCCACTGCTAGTGTGACCAGTCACTGTGCCAGTCCACTGCTAGTGTGACCATTCACTGTGCCAGTCCACTGCTAGTGTGACCAAACACTGTGCCAGTCCACTGCTAGTGTGACCACTGTGCCAGTCCACTGCTAGTGTGACCAGTCACTGTGCCAGTCCACTGCTAGTGTGACCAGTCAAACACTGTGCCAGTCCACTGCTAGTGTGACCAAACACTGTGCCAGTCCACTGCTAGTGTGACCATTCACTGTGCCAGTCCACTGCTAGTGTGACCAGTCAAAGACTGTGCCAGTCCACTGCTAGTGTGACCAGTCAAAGACTGTGCCAGTCCACTGCTAGTGTGACCAGTCAAACACTGTGCCAGTCCACTGCTAGTGTGACCAAACACTGTGCCAGTCCACTGCTAGTGTGACCAAACACTGTGCCAGTCCACTGCTAGTGACCAAACACTGTGCCAGTCCACTGCTAGTGTGACCAAACACTGCCAGTCCACTGCTAGTGTGACCAAACACTGTGCCAGTCCACTGCTAGTGTGACCAAACACTGTGCCAGTCCACTGCTAGTGTGACCAAACTGTGCCAGTCCACTGCTAGTGTGACCAAACACTGTGCCAGTCCACTGCTAGTGTGACCAGTCAAACACTGTGCCAGTCCACTGCTAGTGTGACCAGTCAAACACTGTGCCAGTCCACTGCTAGTGTGACCAGTCAAACACTGTGCCAGTCCACTGCTAGTGTGACCAGTCAAGCACTGTGCCAGTCCACTGCTAGTGTGACCAGTCAAACACTGTGCCAGTCCACTGCTAGTGTGACCAGTCACTGTGCCAGTCCACTGCTAGTGTGACCAGTCAAACACTGTGCCAGTCCACTGCTAGTGTGACCAGACAAACACTGTGCCAGTCCACTGCTAGTGTGACCAGTCAAACACTGTGCCAGTCCACTGCTAGTGTGACCAGTCAAACACTGTGCCAGTCCACTGCTAGTGTGACCAGTCAAACACTGTGCCAGTCCACTGCTAGTGTGACCAGTCAAACACTGTGCCAGTCCACTGCTAGTGTGACCAAACACTGTGCCAGTCCACTGCTAGTGTGACCAAACACTGTGCCAGTCCACTGCTAGTGTGACCGACCAAACACTGTGCCAGTCCACTGCTAGTATGACCAAACACTGTGCCAGTCCACTGCTAGTGTGACCAAACACTGTGCCAGTCCACTGCTAGTGTGACCAGTCAAACACTGTGCCAGTCCACTGCTAGTGTGACCAGTCAAACACTGTGCCAGTCCACTGCTAGTGTGACCAGTCAAACACTGTGCCAGTCCACTGCTAGTGTGACCAGTCAAACACTGTGCCAGTCCACTGCTAGTGTGACCAGTCAAACACTGTGCCAGTCCACTGCTAGTGTGACCAGTCAAACACTGTGCCAGTCCACTGCTAGTGTGACCAAACACTGTGCCAGTCCACTGCTAGTGTGACCAAACACTGTGCCAGTCCACTGCTAGTGTGACCAGTCAAACACTGTGCCAGTCCACTGCTAGTGTGACTAAACACTGTGCCAGTCCACTGCTAGTGTGACCAGTCAAACACTGTGCCAGTCCACTGCTAGTGTGACCAGTCAAACTGTGCCAGTCACTGCTAGTGTGACCAGTCAAACACTGTGCCAGTCCACTGCTAGTGTGACCAGTCAAACACTGTGCCAGTCCACTGCTAGTGTGACCAAACACTGTGCCAGTCCACTGCTAGTGTGACCAGTCAAACACTGTGCCAGTCCACTGCTAGTGTGACCAGTCAAACACTGTGCCAGTCCACTGCTAGTGTGACCAAACACTGTGCCAGTCCACTGCTAGTGTGACCAGTCAAACACTGTGCCAGTCCACTGCTAGTGTGACCAAACACTGTGCCAGTCCACTGCTAGTGTGACCAGTCAAACACTGTGCCAGTCCACTGCTAGTGTGACCAGTCAAACTGTGCCAGTCACTGCTAGTGTGACCAGTCAAACACTGTGCCAGTCCACTGCTAGTGTGACCATTTACTTTGCCAGTCCACTGCTAGTGTGACCAGTCAAACACTGTGCCAGTCCACTGCTAGTGTGACCAGTCACACTGTGCCAGTCCACTGCTAGTGTAACCAGTCAAACACTGTGCCAGTCCACTGCTAGTGTGACCAAACACTGTGCCAGTCCACTGCTAGTGTGACCAAACACTGTGCCAGTCCACTGCTAGTGTGACCAAACACTGTGCCAGTCCACTGCTAGTGTGACCAGTCAAACACTGTGCCAGTCCACTGCTAGTGTGACCAGTCAAACACTGTGCCAGTTCACTCCTAGTGTGACCAGTCAAACACTGTGCCAGTCCACTGCTAGTGTGACCAGTCAAACACTGTGCCAGTCCACTGCTAGTGTGACCAGTCAAACACTGTGCCAGTCCACTGCTAGTGTGACCAGTCAAAGACTGTGCCAGTCCACTGCTAGTGTGACCAGTCAAACACTGTGCCAGTCCACTGCTACTGTGACCAGTCAAACACTGTGCCAGTCCACTGCTAGTGTGACCAGTCAAGCACTGTGCCGGTCCACTGCTAGTGTGACCAGTCACTGTGCCAGTCCACTGCTAGTGTGACCAGTCACTGTGCCAGTCCACTGCTAGTGTGACCAGTCAAGCACTGCGCCAGTCCACTGCTAGTGTGACCAGTCAAGCACTGTGCCAGTCCACTGCTAGTGTAACCAGTCACTGTGCCAGTCCACTGCTAGCGTGACCCTTCACTTTGCCAGTCCACTGCTAGTGTGACCAGTCAAGCACTGTGCCAGTCCACTGCTAGTGTGACCAGTCAAACACTGTGCTAGTCCACTGCTAGTGTGACCAGTCACTGTGCCAGTCCACTGCTAGTGTGACCAGTCAAGCACTGTGCCAGTCCACTGCTAGTGTGACCAGTCAAACACTGTGCCAGTCCACTGCTAGTGTGACCAGTCAAACACTGTGCCAGTCCACTGCTAGTGTGACCAGTCAAGCACTGTGCCAGTCCACTGCTAGTGTGACCAGTCAAACACTGTGCCAGTCCACTGCTAGTGTGACCAGTCAAACACTGTGCCAGTCCACTGCTAGTGTGACCAGTCACTGTGCCAGTCCACTGCTAATGGACTGGCACAGTCACAGTCACAGGAAGACCCCTTTTTCAGTTACACTTCAAAAGAAGTCAAGGATCTGTATGAATGTGTCAGTAAGTCAGGTGTTAGGTCAGCAGTGCTCTCTCTGTGCACCCACTATGTACTCTTGTTCTAAATTTACCAAAACCTCTAACAGCTTTATATTATTATGGGGGAGGGGGTGAGGAATGGAGCACGGATCTAATTCCCTAGATAAAGAGCCCATGACCAGCACGAAGGAGCCTCCCTTGAGGGGGTATTATTATTATTATTATAATTATAATCAAAAAGAAGCGCTAATCCACAAGGGCTATACAGCGCTGCAGGGTAGGGAAGGAAGCGAGGGTATTGGGCGGCAGAAGGGAGGAGGGATGATCAGCAGGTTACAGAAAACAGCGGGGCAGGGGATAGTACAGGGGTAGAGGGTAGCAAGAGATTGAAGTAGAAAGGGCTGAAGGTATCAGAATTTGTGAAGTCAGTTGTTGTCAAAAAGTCAATGAGAGAGTCTGGATGAAAGGTGGGTCCATCAGCGAGAAGGGAAGGTAAAGAGAGAGCAGCGGAGCGAAGACGACGACGGAGGTAAATTCTGTGTGCTCGTTGATAAAGTGGGCAGTCCAACAGAATGTGGCTGACTGATAATGGAGCTTGGCAATTCTCACAGAGAGGAGCAAGACGCCTCTCCATGAGATATCCATGAGTAAGACGAGTATGGCCAATGCGAAGACGGGCCTTGAGGGGGTACAAGGTTGAACGAATCTCCAAATAGGGAGGGTAAATGTGTTAGCCTGTCAGTCAGTGCAACAACATTGAATATGGCAGTAACAGTGTCACATCACATGTAAAATCTCAATGTGATTTACACCTCTGATATATTATTTAAAGGGAAGTATTTAACCTTTAAGGGTCACACAGCACCTGAGGAATGAGAGGGTATCAGGTATGATCCAAGGAAGGTGATCAAAGGTTCTCTTCCACCACAGTACAGAGTACTGACCTGTGGCAAAAAGTCTGTTAATGATTAACTTCATGACCTCGGTGGGTCAATTTAAGAAGTGGTTACTTATTTGCAGTCAGTGCTGGGGGTCACTGCCCCCTTGTGCAGCCCAGTCTTAATACAGGCCCCCTGGATTATCATTACATTTGACTTATGTTAGTTAAAATATATTTGAGGAAGGCCTAAACCTGTAGGGGTCATCCAGTGACTGGAAAATGGAAGTTAATCAGGTTTGATTCAAAGATGGTAAAAGCAGCTCCATTTCCTAGGATCAGGAGCACAAAGCCATCCACCTTCAAAAGAAAGTACAAATTTAATTTCATTAATTCTTGTCTAATATCTAAAGTATTGTAAGTTTGAAAGAAAATAAATATTTCCTTATACCAAAAATATTTTTTTATCAAAAAATATATCAGTAATGTTTAACATTTTTATTACGTTCATGACGGAGCGCTAAAGATACGAGAATCATACAGTGTCTAGGGGAGGTAATAGTTCCAGTTGTCTGGATCAAGAGCCTTTTTACCGGCATCAAGGCACCTCCCTTGAGGGGTCACACAGGATCTTACAAAGCTTTATGCTATAATATTTTTTCAATGATTTCCTGTAGCAGTGTTGGTGAGGTGTTGTCCACTTGCAGGTGTGGGTGTCCTAATGGGCTGACCCGAGCTGACGGTACCTGCGTGTCAGCGATCACCCCTGCCACCCCTGTCTTCACCCTGCCACCCACTGGTGCCGCCCCGGCTAGCCTTGCCAGGAAACCCACCATGACACGAGGAACTGGAGGCTCTGTGGCCCAGCCCATCATTATTTGCCTGGTCATATTCATCTCCTTCTGCATAATGATGATCGTCATCACCTATAGCTTCCGCGCTCGCAGCCGCCGCCTGGCTGTCAGGACAACCTACAGGGAGGTCATCGCTGCTGATTTAAGCAATGGATCCTTTACTGATCTCAGCTCCGACACCAATCTCGGGGATATTCCCCTCGACTACAGGGCCACAGTACCACTTCCCCCATCGTATAAACAGTCTATTCTCCGTCCTACTACCCTCTCCAGCTCCTCAACTATACCTATCATATCCAGCAGGTACTCCAGCTGCACTGCCAGTATAGAGACAGTGCCACGTACCTTCTCCTCACCTGACACTGCGTCAAGTGTGAGCTATGGTTCCCTGCTGACAAGGTCACTGCTGCTGACACCAGACATCGCACCCTCAATAACAGATCTGACAACGGCTAGTGTTTATGACAGTCGCATCCCATCATATCACGAACGATACTAAAGATATGTGCAGCTCCTGAATGACTAACACCTACAGCTGACAATAAAAAAATTAGAAACACCTGCAACTGACAACAAAGACTAACAAACACCTGCAGCTCATAATGAACATTCAAACACTTGCAATTCATAAACAGAACTTGGATCAAATCTGATTGACTTCCAGACAATCAAATTTAATCCAAGAAAGATGCAAGTAAGTACAATTTCTTGAATCAAGACCTGTCACCAGCATCACCGAACCTGCCTCGAGGGGAAACAGGTCTTATACACGGTCACTACATTACAGTTGTTTTTCCATACACTGGACCATAAAATGGACCTTACGCTCTAACAAAAAATAAATTATACAATGATGCTCGTATAATGTGGCACTTTTATGATATGCAAAATTTGAAAGTATTTTCTAAGCGTTTTAAAGCATTCTTAGGAAATGTTAATTTTTAAATTAAAATTTACGATTTTTTAGTTAAAAAAAAAATGAATTTTTATATTTAATTTAAATACTGACTGGATCTTGAAGAAAATATAAATTTGATTTTTGAAAAAAAAAAAAAAAAAAACATACTTTTAATGTTTATGCTGGGAGATATTAAACAGCTGGTCACAGACCGGGCCGCGGGGGCGTTGACCCCCGAAACTCTCTCCAGGTAAACTCCAGGTAATACACAAAATAACAACTAAAACATATTAACCACCACACAGAGAAGAGACTTCTTAGAACTGTACAAACTAATCACCAAAACACCTGCATCAAACCTTCTATTACTTACCAAACCATACCACAGGCAGGAATAGAACCCGTGATCAGAGAATCTGGACTTTCATGACTCGGATCACAGGTTCTATCCCCACCCGTAGTATGGTTTGTTTGCAATCGTGTCATTATGATTTCATGAGTCTTCTTTTACTTAGATCATTATTTATTATCACAATCAAAAAGAAGCGCTAAACCTACAAGGGTCATACGCTTTTACTTAGAAAACTAAAACACTTTTGGCTCTGAATGTTGCTCCTGAGTAGAACTCAGGTAGGTTGAGATGTGTTAGGTTAAGTTTGGTTATTCTTAGTTATTTTTAGGTTAGGTTTTTCGTAAACATTAGATTTTTTTTAATAATTCACTAATTAAAAATTTTTTTAAAACAATAAACACAAAACATATACTATCTCCAGTTAATGCCACTCGACACAGTATCGTTTAAACTGTTTCATTGGCTAAGTCCACCGAGGAGCAACAGTCAATTAGGCATTACCGAACTTTCAGCAGCGAAAGCTTTTATTATCCAGTGGACCCCCGGTTTACGATCACCTCCCAATGCGACCAATTATGTAAGTGTATTTATGTAAGTGCGTTTGTACGTGTATGTTTGGGGGTCTGAAATGGACTAATCTACTTCACAATATTCCTTATGGGAACAAATTCGTTCAGTACTGGCACCTGGACATACTTCTGGAATGAAATAATATCATAAACCAGGGGTCCACTGTAGCAGGTTTAACCCCACAGTGGAACCATCAGGTATGGGTCTTTTAACTTTACGCAGCTTCTATTATGTGACGTCTAGTTCCAGTCAGCAGATCAATACATTACAAATTACCTCACGATCTATATAAGTCAATAATTAACCAAGTCCTCCCTATACCCTTTGTTCATTCTTATGAACAACCATACACCTGATCACTCTTGTAAACAACTGTACACCTGATCACTCTTGTAAACAACTGTACACCTGATCACTCTTGTAAACAACTGTACACCTGATCACTCTTGTAAACAACTGTACACCTGATCACTCTTGTAAACAACTGTACACCTGATCACTCTTGTAAACAACTGTACACCTGATCAGTCTTGTAAACAACTGTACACCTGATCACTCTTGTAAACAACTGTACACCTGATCAGTCTTGTAAACAACTGTACACCTGATCACTCTTGTAAACAACTGTACACCTGATCACTCTTGTAAACAACTGTACACCTGATCACTCTTGTAAACAACTGTACACCTGATCACTCTTGTAAACAACTGTACACCTGATCACTCTTGTAAACAACTGTACACCTGATCACTCTTGTAAACAACTGTACACCTGATCACTCTTGTAAACAACTGTACACCTGATCACTCTTGTAAACAACTGTACACCTGATCACTCTTGTAAACAACTGTACACCTGATCACTCTTGTAAACAACTGTACACCTGATCACTCTTGTAAACAACTGTACACCTGATCACTCTTGTAAACAACTGTACACCTGATCAGTCTTGCAAACAACTGTACACCTGATCAGTCTTGCAAACAACTGTACACCTGATCAGTCTTGCAAACAACTGTACACCTGATCAGTCTTGCAAACAACTGTACACCTGATCAGTCTTGCAAACAACTGTACACCTGATCAGTCTTGCAAACAACTGTACACCTGATCAGTCTTGTAAACAACTGTACACCTGATCAGTCTTGTAAACAACTGTACACCTGATCAGTCTTGTAAACAACTGTACACCTGATCAGTCTTGTAAACAACTGTACACCTGATCAGTCTTGTAAACAACTGTACACCTGATCAGTCTTGTAAACAACTGTACACCTGATCAGTCTTGTAAACAACTGTACACCTGATCAGTCTTGTAAACAACTGTACACCTGATCACTCTTGTAAACAACTGTACACCTGATCAGTCTTGTAAATAACTGTACACCTGATCACTCTTGTAAACAACTGTACACCTGATCACTCTTGTAAACAACTGTACACCTGATCACTCTTGTAAACAACTGTACACCTGATCAGTCTCGCAAACAACTGTACACCTGATCAGTCTTGTAAACAACTGTACACCTGATCAGTCTCGCAAACAACTGTACACCTGATCAGTCTCGCAGACAACTGTACAACTGATCAGTCTCGCAGACAACTGTACAACTGATCAGTCTTGCAAACAACTGTACACCTGATCACTCTTGTAAACTGTACACCTGATCAGTCTCGCAGACAACTGTACACCTGATCAGTCTCGCAAACAACTGTACACCTGATCAGTCTCGCAGACAACTGTACAACTGATCAGTCTTGCAAACAACTGTACACCTGATCACTCTTGTAAACTGTACACCTGATCAGTCTCGCAGACAACTGTACACCTGATCAGTCTCAAACAACTGCACACCTGATCAGTCTCAAACAACTGTACACCTGATCAGTCTCACGAACAACTGTACACCTGATCAGGTCTCATCACTACTGCTAAGGCATGACACAATATGCCCAAAGTGAATATTTTGTTCTATCAGTAATTCTGTTTGTGTAATTTATTGTCAATATATACAATTTGCATGGTTGGCAATGAAAGTTATGTGTAATTAAAAGTTTATGGCCTGAGTGAGAATAGTAAAGGTACCAAGTCCTGAAAACACCTACAGCACAAAAAGGATGATTTTTTGCCTCAATGGTCGTCTCCTGCCAAAGCAGGTTAATCAAAAAAATAAATAAATAAAGGGGGGAACAGAATCACTGTCACAATTGTGATGTCAGCCACTTCTGGCTGACATCACAATTCAGATTACCCTTTGACTGCAACATCCCCATCTCTCCTTGACAGGCCAGGCACTGTACTTACCACCTTCAGGACTCGAGGACAATTAACACATTAATGTAAAATGAGGGACTTGTGTACTTTATATAGCCCCACTGTGGGGGTATCATCATAACAAAGGTTCTACTTCAAGTGGCACTTGTCAGCTTCAGTCACTGTCTGTCTTGATTTTGCTTCAATCCTGCAACCAAAGACATTGCCATAGCATAAACAGAAAGCAACTACGGGCAAATGGTCGTGTAGTTAACACAGAATATATGAGTCTTGGTATTTTTTATATTCTTGGGGAAATGATAAACCTATAGAGGTCACACAGTACTTGAGGCATCCTCTTGAAGGCACTCTCCTGAAGGCACCTTCCTGAAAGTTTTTTTCAAATACAGTATTCACATAAAAGTATGTTGTTGGCCCTGCCGTTTTGAAACGTATAAATCCATTATGGTAGTCAAATTCATAAGTGCAGTAAGCTCTCTTATAAAGTTCCTTTTTATGGTATAATGTTTTGTAAATGTGATTAAGGATGCACATTCAAAATTGAATAATGTCTACTATGAAAGCCTCTGCATAACGTATTCAATTTTGGCTGTAGTTTTTACAACTGCATTTACAAAAAACCACACTATGAGGAGGAGCTTTATGAGACTTTACGTACTGACTACAGCTGCAGCAGTTACACCGGACATTAAAAAATTGGAAGGCAGAATTTAAATACAAAATGATAATATTTTGAAAATGTTTTATGATATTATCAAATAAATACAAACTGAAATATGTTGCAGATGTTCATCCTGGGGGGAAGGGGGGGGGGTTAAAGTAAGTCCTCACTAACAGGGGGGGGTTAAAGTAAGTCCTCACTAACATTCAGACATTTTGCCGAGAACAAAACAACAATTCGACGTTACTATAATATGCTTTACTTTAAAAAAAGAAATGCTAATCTTTTTTTTTTTTTTTGCACCACAAAATTTAATGATCATGCAAGATATTACAGTATTTGTGATCCCAACAATTGAAGTTTAAGGCCACTTTTAAATTAAGCATTAGGCAAAGTGCTCGAGATCAGATAAGTGTCTCGAGATGTTGCAAAAGACACGTGAGCAAGCAATTGGATATGCGTATTAGAAAATGTTTTGGCTCTAGGACCTTGATTAGTTGGTTCTGGGACCTGCATCAGGTGGTCCTGGGACCTTGATCAATGGGTCTTGGGACCTTGACCAGTTGGTCATACAACCTTGAACAGTGGGCCCTGGGACCTTGATCAGTGAGCCCTGGGACACTGAAGTGATCACTGTCCCAGGACTACAACAGTTTCTAATAAACATGTCCTAGTTTTGGCTCCAGTGTCTTTTTTGAACTATTTATGGGTCTCAATTACCAAGTTTTTCACCAAGCAGTCTTGAGCTGACTGAAGTGTTCAACAATAATGATTCAATACTCTAAAGTACCAGAGATTAACACTATCCATATTCTGTACTTTAAATAATAAAGTTACTGTGAAGAATAAGTCACAATACATTGACTGGAACAATTCCAAATTCTGTAAACCAGAATTTGAAGAAAATATTTTAGGACATTTTGGTTCGTCACTGAGCCACAAGTTTCGAAATTTAATGAAAGATTGAAACACCATCTGAGGTTTCCTCTTAAAATTAAGTTACTTGTGAAAGCAATTCGCAAAGAACTGACATACGAAGAGGAAATTTACGAACTGTTCCAGCCATCATATTGTCGCTCTCTTTTTACTAGTGAGACCTAATGTGATAACCAAGTTTTGTAAATAAAGTTTCCCATAAGGAAAATTTAGAAAGATCAAATTGGTGTTACTCAGAAGGTTGATAACTATATATAATGTCCCTCTGTCTCTTTCTCTCTTTCTCGATCATCTCTACACCAGTGATACTACCAAATGTGCCAGGTTTTTTTTATTTATCTAACAAAAATATATAAATAAAATTATAAAACTTTAACAAGTGATGCAAATGTTTAATTTACTTATAGCTTTTACAGACATATTAACATTTCAACAGAGGAAATACATTCACCAAGAAAATATGCAATATTTTAAGATGAAAATAAGTAGGATAACATTTTATGCTAAATAAGAATATAAACTAAGATTCATAGTAGCTGGGACAGACTTGCAGCTCCTTTGGACATTTACTGAAGTACTATCAACATTTAAGCAAAAAAGTTAATCACCATTAACAAAACTCCCATTCCAAATATGAATCCTGATTATCAATTTTTTTTTTTTTACCCTAATGTTGATTGCAGGTTCAAATAATGCCTTGAGATGTAGCAAGTTTTTTCCACCAGCTATGAATTATATTTAAGGTCAATCTTTACTAATACGAGATGTAATACGCATTTACCTCACACTAAAATGGAGAAATATGAGATCCTGCCATACACTGCGGGGGACGGCATACACTGGATGGTCCTAAGTATTTTATAAGCCAATGATGAACAAAACGTCACCAATACACTATTTAGGACATATCAAAAGTCAAAATATAATGTCGTTCTCAGATTAACTTTTAGAAGTGAAGACAAAAATAAAAACTACCACTACTGTTAGCACTCAGACATCACGAAAAATAAACTGCGGCTCACAATGCTAACCACACCAAGCACTGCCATTAATAAATTTGAATCTACTTTATCTTTTACAAGTGGAGGGTTATACCCTCAGGAGCATATGGATCTAAATAATCAGCAAATTTGTATACAGGCACTAGATAAGGCCTTCCCTAATTCTGGAAAGTGGTGGCTCTATGTAACCAAGTACTAATCACAAATTATCTGCACCTAGGAGAGGAAACGTATAATGCCGAATTATCAGGAGCATCAGTTGTGACTTGACGATGGCCCAAGACTGACTGAAATGTTGTCAAAAGTATCCTCTCCTAAGTGCAGGTATCTGTGATTTGTTCCAGCCACAGTATTGTGTCTTTTCATTCTTTACCGAGTAACAAGTTACCCGGCAACTACCCAGATTCAAGGCTGTTTTTGAGGTCATCCATCAACTTAGGCCTACACTAGGGGATATTATTTCAACAGGTATGAGACCAGTACTTAATCCACAAGTCACAGAAGTGATTATTTAAGGTGTAATAATATTCTCAGACTTCATGTAGTATGAAAACTGGGTTAAAAAAAAAAAAATGTACCTAT